TTCGAGTATAATCGATGATCATGACATCAGTCATCACTAGTGCATGCTCCGAAAATGTGTTATTGAGAATAACAGTACTGGTATAAATATTGACTTGCATTGCTGCTTACACATTACCAGTCTAACTTCACAAATATTTTAAGCTATATCAATTTGTTTACTCGTATTCTATTGGCCCAGTCTGCGAAATTAACCACTGGCCCGGTATCCGAGGCCAGTAAATTTTCCGTGGGGCCAATGAAACTGGTAAATGAACAAGCCTGATGGGCCAGTAGAAAAAATGGAGTAAATGGTCTATTAATGACATTTCAGCTTCTTTATCTGGTGATGATGTGATCAGTCTGAGAATTTACCCAAATTCCCAATATTTTGTATGAAGATTTACAGATAGGGCATCATATTCCCGATCTTAAGTAGGGGAAGTAACTAGTCAACACCATGCGTGTTTTTCGCCGCTAGAGGTCGCAACAACTTCCGGTTTCCGGTTCTGGTTTTCAACGTGGCCTTAAACGTGTTGGCTAAGTTACTGTTCGAAGTCGAAAAGAGCTTTCTGATTATGAATGAGCACCCTATGGCAGTGACAATGAGGTGGGGGAGAGGGAAGTGGATAATTTTTTTTTCAATTTCATGAAAGAATAAGAATCGAATCTTTAAGAATACACCAAAAAGTTCTGTTTCTCTTTTCATAATATGATTATCATTGATTCGGGCCTGTAAAACCTAGTTTGGGCCAGTGAATTATACATTTCTACAGGCCCGCTGCATGGGCCAATGAGGGTGGAAGTTTTTCGTGCAGACTGTTGGCCCAATCCTATAGTTTAGCACACCGCATTAGTTTGACATATTTGCAAAGACAAGTTTGCAGGGTTTAAAATTATGATTGTGCATAATTCACTACCTAAAAGTAAGATCACCATCCGTATCCTTATCGTAATCCTATATATTTTATTCATAACTTATATTATTTATAGAATATTTATTATTTTATTCAAAGTGGCTGGAGGTACGGCAGCCGTATCTCCAATTTACGAGGCTGCAGGTACGGGAGTCCATTTGTGCATGCGTCGCTTTCACACAAAATAAAGCCGTTAGAAATTAATTCATGATTTCAGAGTTTTGATGAGCTAGAAAACACTCGGATTAAGTATGAAAATGAACATTATTGTGCCAGCTACCCTACACCAGTTGGTTGGGATTGATTGTCAGTTCCGATGCAAAAGATGGAAAGCAAAAGGTTAATAGCACACGCATATATTGTATAAGATAGCCGAGCCGGTTCAGATTTATGGTTAATACCTATCCTAGACAGTTTTTGCAGTTCAGGGATAGAGATGATGTTTATTACTGGACATGCTCTCTATCCTTGAGCCGTTTTTGTAGTCACGTGGAGGCGCCGCATGTGCAATAAATTAATTGACTGCCGTACACGCAGCCTCGTAAATTGGAGATACGACTGCCATACCCCTAGATCAAATAATTCTGTCCCATATAACCTTTTTTATATTTTGGTGAGGGTTATATTGGGACAGAACGGGGTTCATTGAAATTTCGTGAGATCGCATGCAAAATGCATGCACTGCGTGTACGCCGCTATTGGCGCGAAAAAAAACCTACCGTTCCCTTCTACATGGCTTTACCTTGCTACTGATATACATGTGTATACATTCACTTCAATCGTTATTTACTTCTTAAAAGATTGTTTTTCATAAACCCTGCTTCATTAACTTTAGTAAATTACGTTGGACATTTACAAACAATCAGACCAATCACAGCGAGTCTATCAGGCCTCCTGCAGCGCCACAGATACAAGCGAGAACCAGGGCCCAGGGGCTAGCCTATTGTAAGACTCGCTGTGATAGTAAAGAATAAAGAGAATAATTTCACATTTCCACTTTGCACCGATTCTTGCTCAAACAATATTGTCATTAGATAACCGTATACAAACACGTGAACCCAAAAGTGGCAAAACACGTGTTCGTATTATAATTAATAATTATGAATATGATCATACATCAAATTCAATGTCATCATGTCATTGTCATGTGCTGATGAGTGATGAGTTTACATGATGATGATCTATGCTCAAATGACCTAAACACAATCTAGGTGCCAACTTACTGACGGTGAGGACCTTGCAAGCTCGTTTTGATATATTTGTTACAAATGTACCGTCTTTAAATTAATAACTAATTACAATAAATAGATAGATTACCAACTATCTTGAGCAAAAACATTGATGATCGTCTGCCGTATTAGGTAATCGTTGGCGAATGCTATTTTGTTATCGCTTATCGCGCCCTCTATCGCCATCTACATGAAGCTGATGATATCAAGCTGAAGAGCTCAAGTATATCTCATACTGAAGAGCTATACATCTATATTACATAGAAATAATATATTTTATGGACTTTGTGCCATTTTGGACCCTGTCGCAATCTCAAGCAAGAGCACAGGACAGTTTTTAAAGCTGAACTGAATATTGTTTATCCAAATAATAACGACAATCTATACAAGCAAATGCTACTGCACATGCTAAGAATTAGACAAAAATTAATATAATTTATATATTATTTAAATTTATAATTAAAATTAGTCTTAACATTAGACTGCACACATCAGCCTACACACCGTTCCGACTAGAGAATCCGAGTCTAATGAACTGGGAGCAGCACACATTCGTGAAGCATCCGCCGGTACACCCCATCGCTTACACAGCCCAGGAATGTGACTCTGGCTATGCTAGGCCGACACACTCTGCACACGTCAACCCACACACCGTTTCCCCCATCCGACTCGAGCGTTACCACACATACCTTAAATTCTTACGATATCACTACTCTCACAACCGTTTCGGGTATAACAATTAAAGATTCCTCCATTAAATTGCAAAATTCAAGCATCAGGCTAATTGGGAGACAAAATTGCATTGCTGTAACTTTTATGTACAACTTACAAATAAAAAACCCAACATTAATCCCCCACCCACACACGCACGCACGCACGCACGCACGCACGCAGACACTTTGATTGAATTACTCATTCGTGTATCACCATTACGCACCAGCAATCTACCGTTTACGTAAACATCTCACCGTTAAGTGTAAATAGGTACATATTCCGATAAAAAATATATGTCTTTGATTAATTATTTCTTATTCCGACTGAGATCTAAAAGATATGAATAGATAGATATAGCTATATACGAACTCCGAGTACGGTAGTAGAGCATCACGTTCTCGCCGCTAGGGGGTGACACTGCACGATGGTGAGGGCTGGTAACAAATTGCTGTTACCAGCCTTCTGGGCCGGTGCAAAAAAATCTGAATTTTGTGCCCTGATAAACATTTTGATCATTATTCTCCTTAAAAAAGTTGTGGTTAACAGTAACTGTTAGTTACTGTGTTAACGTTCGAAGTCGCCACAAAACCATGTTTTTTTTAATTCCTTTAGGTGTCTATTGCCACAGCTGAACATTAACAGCTAGAATAATATTGCCCCGTATAAAATTTACACATACACTGTCTTATATTATACGCATTGAACAATGAGCAAGTCCGCTGTCCGCACGATAAATCAATTGATACTACACCAACTTACGTCAGGTTTGTGTTACTTATGAGCGTTTCAAGTTATCACAGTTAAAAACTTTGACCACATATACACAGAGACCAGATTCTGTTAACGTGTCTATTGAATACAAGAGATCTCGCAAGAGAGAAGCCCGTCATATCGTGATGAAATCCGATGTTAATCAGGTAACCGATTAAGCTGATTAATTCGTGGCAGACACTATAATGTTGTATAAAAATTTACCTAAGCATCATTCTTGAAAACGCAGTGTCCCTTTATGCCAGTGATTACGCTGCATGCTGATAGAGATTCCTATAGGGCTCCTTGGGTGGTGGATGCAACGACAGGCAATCATACGACCCTGCGATCTCAGCTCCCTAAACAAAGCATAGGATCGACATTCAATGACAGAATTAGAAAGAATACCTGATACACTGATACAAGTACAACGTCTTAGCAGTAAAATTTAGCCAAGTACTATTAGCAGGAGTTGAGAAGATGAGATTTTATAAAAGCAAGGTCCTTCAACAATGAAAGGGTTAGAGACAGCTAGGACTATCGGGCATGCTGACAGGCCTATGTGTCTGCTCTCTTTAACAATTGTTTAATCAAAGAATTACTTGCAGCATGATTTAGCATATGCCTGGCACTCGGGTGGGGAAACCCTATAGGCTAGACCGACTGACCCGGGATAAAAAACCCACCTCTCTGCAGCACAAGCTAGCATCCTCTGCAATTTACTGCTACCTCTACTAACTACCGTTTTGTCTAATACTTTTCGTTGTGTAGCTGTGGTCACGGAAGGCAGTGTCCAGTTGATCCTGATTGTATTCGGAGGAATTTCGTGGCACGCTCCGCTTATACTTGATGTGATCGCACACGTCGGCGATCATGCGTTTGCTCTTGGCGGCTTCTCTCTCCATTCTGCGGCGCCGCGTCGAATACGTTGCGGCAATCGACATCTGTCGCAGCGCCAACGATGGCCGCTTCCTGATTAGGACTTCAAAGGGTTCATTGCAAAAATATTGCTCAGAAACGTGCAATCTGAAAATGAAAGTGTCAATGACACTGTAGCTCACCACAAATGAAAGTGTCAATGACACTGTAGCTCACCACAAATACATCTTAGCTATAATCTCTGTAAATTTTGAGTTTATTTAAGCACGATTTGCTTAATTAATTAGCAAATATGTACGCGCGGTATTGCTCATAGACTAAATGCCAAAATGAAAATGAAACGTCACGAATTCTATTTTTATCCTCCAATCACAGGTCGGAGCACAGGCCCTTGGAGGCTCAAGTTTCAAGAAGAGTATAAGAGCAAAGCGCCGCTTCACTGTTATACTCTTCTTGAAACTTGAGCCTCCAGGGGCCTGTGGTCGGAGCAACTTCTCTGTTTAGATGCACAGGCACTTGGATCGTTTCAATAAAATATAATGCTAAATAAATAAGAAATCTATTTACTACCAAAGTCTTAGTGATGGGAATTGGCTGGAATTTCATAATCGATTATCGGTTTCCCTTAACCGATCGATAATCGATTATAATCGGATAATCGGTTAATAATAGCATAGATTTAATTTAATCTTACTTTGTATATACAATTACACATTGCATTCAATATTATCATGTTTTATGATCATGTATTAACTCTGTGAAGGTTGCTGTATGTATATCAATGTCTGTTCCTATACAGTATTTAACCAATTTAAAAAGAAATCGTTTAAATGCCTTTATTAAAACATTAAAAGTTTTAAACAAACATGATCAAGACTTGTTCTTTATATAAGTAAGTTGTTTCTGTTCTAATAGTGTAGGCAGTGTACCACGTCATGACCACGTCATTTTTCATCAAAAATTATTTATATGTGGTTAGCCATCATAATATGCATAAATTACTGTGATGTACAATAAATGTGTATGAATTTGAATTTTGTGATCGATTATGAAGTTCCTGTTATCATGAGTTTGCTCGTAGCTACGATGTGTTTCTGTCAACGCTACTCTCGTAGCATTAACATTAGTCGTAAGTGTTATCGTAACATTAACATTAGCAATTAGCATTAACTTTATGATGTTTCTGACAACGGCCCCTGCAGGACTTGTGCACTACTTGTCATATCAATTCACACATCGTGAGTACAGTTCCTTGTTTGTTTGTTTTGGTATTTCCGATTATTTGTTTTCATAATCGATTATCGAATTTGAAACTATAATCGATCGATTTTCGATTATAATCAATCATCAAGACATCACTACAAAGTCTTAATGTTTCTCTACTCTCTTTCACCTATTATTGCCGACAATTTCCTGTAAATGCCGTCCAAATGCTCATCTGCAACATGCTGGCCGCCGCACGCTAGCTGCTGCACACTGACACATAAATATATAGCAGGTAGGAAAGTGTGCTGCCAAAATTCGCTCGATGCACGCTTGATTCCATACGAATACAACACAAATATTCAACCATTCTACTCCATCTTTGTTTCTATTTGAAGAACAGTGTTCACTTGTTATAAAAACATACTGTCTGTGTTCGGAACCGAGCTGTGTCACGCGAAATCACACAAAGCTTGACGAAATTCTCGCGTTCGCTCCTGTTGCGCAGTTTATGTAAATTTACAGCATGTAATTTTGGCAGCACTCTTTCCTACCTGCTATATATTTATGTGTCAGTAAGCAGCAGCTAGCGTGCGGTTAGCTCTAGTACTATAGCCCGCGTACAGTTGCCGCAGGCTCTAGAACATTTTATGCCAGGTTTCGTAACTGCACCTGTCCCCCAATGCTTCCACGAAAAATGATCGGGCTTTTTAACACTTATTTATCTAAATAGACATCTTACCTATCTTTTTGAACACTTTCCACAACTTTACACCATGTACTTATGCATTTATTCCTCAAAGTGCTAGCACTACTTGCGTTTCATTTTGAAATGTTGTTGTGTACACTCGTGACGTCACCCGAAATGTAGACAAAACACATGGGCAGCTATGATGCAGCCTATTACATTTCGGGTAACGTCACGCGTGTACACAACAGCATTTGAAAACGAAACGCAAGTAGTGCTAGTGGGGGGGTCCAGGGGGTCCGGACCCCCCATGCTCGCGCAGAAAACGCATCTGAGGGGTGCTAATTTCAAAAAAATTATGGGGGAGAGCCCCCCAGACCCCCCCTTCGCGTGCTCCTAGCACCCCCATTTAGAAAATCCTGGGTACGCCACTGAAAGCCGCGGCACTATTTTATTGCTTCCGACGCCTTTGGTACACACGACCGCTAAGCTAGCAGTAAATGTAATATTACTTTTAGGTTGACCTGCTTTACTCCGGAAGCTACAACCTGATCAAGACAGTTCCTGTCATCAAGATAATCAAGCTCTCTACCTGGATGCCACTAATCTGTAATCATTCATCTGTGTTTGTCACCACCATTTTTTTACGTGCTTAATTTTTAGGCAAAAGAGAGTAGAGTACTAGAGAGTAGAGACTAGACTCGAGAGAGTTTTGGTAGTAAATAGATTTCGTGTTTATTTACCATCATTTTATTATTGAAAGGTTCCAAGTGACTGTGAATCAGTAGCGCTTGGCAAATTTGTTGTCATTTTCTCCACAGGCATTTGGAACATCTCAGTAAAAAAATCATTGTAAATAAATACGAAATGTATTTACTACCAAGTTTCTTTACGCTCTTTCTCCTATTATTTCGAAATAAATTCTCTTGGCTGGGAACCTGGGGAGAGGGAGAGAGAAGGAGTGGCAAGTGGCTTAACTGCGTCTAAGCAACTATAGCGGGCAAATTATTTCCCCGCAAATAATAGCGGGCAAAGTATTTCAAAATGCAAATTCTAAGGCAAAAACGTGGATAGAAGAACGGAAACAGCATCGTACAAGTCTATTTTACACATTGTTGCGTTTATTCCGGAATTCCGATTATTGATATCAGCAAGCACAGTATTACAAATACGTAAAATTCTGATTTTACACAATACCACACTGGATATAATGACTATGGCATCTGGAACTGGTCAGTTATCATAATTAGTGAATATTATGCTAGATGCATTGAGATAAAACGCTAGACTGCACCCAATAGGTAGCAATACTTAAAGGAAAGCTTACGCAAGACTGCATCATCTGCTATACACAAATACATCATGTTTCGTTAATGCGTAAAGAAGTCCTCTTCCTAAACATGTATTTTTTGCTACAAAGACTCGTGGTTGCAAGTATCTATCGATATGAATGTGACCTTTGTGATGCGCAGTCACGAATTGCGAGTTGCAATAAAGTGATTAATCAAATGCAGTTAGAGAATCCATCAATTGCCATCACCTTGCATTATGCATTTACACACCTTGCACAGTAATGACATAAGCATAGAGTAGACACAGACCAGCGACACGAGATTCAGGTGAGGTTGAACGCTGCTTCTTCAGATTACACGTACTAACGGGCAATGGGCATATCCTAGAGTGGAGTCTCCACATGAACGTAAACTGCGACTATAATGTGGTAAGTTGTGATTCGGTTGACGAATATCCAGTTTAATCCACGTTCACTGTTAAATATCATGCAAGCACGGACGCGCCCACAGCATCCTATACCACAAACGCAAACTTCGCGAAGAGGTGGACGATCAGTAACGATGCTCCATTAAGCAGATGTTTTTCACTAAACCTATACAAAGTACATGATACAGTTAGCAGTTGTGATGTCACGAATTCACTTCGTTGAACTGTACAGAGTATGTGCGAGCGAGTAAATACTCCTAAATTGCTTCATGTTCGCCTTGAATATTCTCTGCCGAACTTACGACACGAAAAGTCCAATACTATCAGGGTTATTGATTATCATAAAATCCTTCTTTGAGCATATACACCCGAGATGCATAAGCTACGTAGACAAAAATTTCCAGTACATCAGCAATATACGTACCTCATCGACAAGGTACCCTCTTGGCTTTATAGACAGGAACGAGGACAGGCTTATTCTGCAGACATACAAAATTTCCTCACAGCCACCGACTTTCTTCTCTGTCGAAAATAAATTCCCAAGCAATGCCATCTATAAACAAACAAAAAACAATGTTCCTGTAATGAAGTAGATATCGAATTATTTAACCTAGTATAAAACCTAGCGACACGGGTCGTTTAACTTAAGCAGCATCACGTCATATGTTATTTTAGTCGACAAATAGCAGTCAAGGCAACAAGCGAAGGATGCCACCCAGCTATCCAAAGAAACTGAGTCACTGGAACACGAGTAAAAGTTATCACCCATGACGGCAGATGACAGTTTAGTACCTATAGAAGGACATCACACCTTGATGTCGCATGCCGACTGATAAAGAACAAACAATGAACGCCGACAAATGTGAACTATGAGAACATGAATCGAACTGCCGCGATTCCGAAGGACTTCTAGAAGCTTCTGCTGCTGTTCCCATGCCAGATTCAAGAGGCTTCCACAGCTTCTCACCTTCAGTCCCCCATAAAAATGTTGGAGATGACGACACGTCTTGCACCACCATCGTCAACAAGGCCTTGACCACGCTCGGGCCACGCATAACTCCAGAAGCATAAATACCGACCGATTTGAACAGAAAGAGGTTCACGACAGTTCACGACGCTGTCAGCACCGCGCTGCTCTCACCTGCTCTCGTCACCATGCTACCGTCACCGCCGAACATCTCTGACTGAGGACCTGCCTGCTGCTCTTAGGTCGTAAGATATGAACCATTTGTAATGCGTATTTGATTATTGGCCTGCGCACCTATGATTATATATGATTATCACGCTGATGTTGATTATTAAAGAATAGAGTAACTGAAATGATTCTTTTGATTATAGTACAATATACTGCCTATGACTTAAGTGCAATAGCACGCGTATCTGTTGTACAAACGAACCTGGTCACACTATACGATCACACGTGCCTACTATACGTAGCATGGACGAGCTTTTCTATATTCCAGTTACTGCCAGCATTGAAATATAAATGAATGCACTAATATATTACCTACATCACAACTGGTGTAAGAGCACTTAC